CTGGGTACACTTCCCAGGGGCTGGGGTACACTTTCCAGGGTCTGGGTACACTTCCCAGGGGCTGGGGTACACTTTCCAGGGGCTGGGTACACTTCCCAAGGGCTGGGTACACTTGCCAGTGGCTGGGTACACTTGCCAGTGGCTGGGTACACTTCCCAGTGGTGCTACTACGTGGCTTTTCTGTCTCCCATGGAGGATCAGTTTTTAATCACATCTGGTATTTTAGTTGCCTCAAAAGAAGTTTCTGCTCCCATCTGTGAGTTGGTGATTAAGACAACACATGCAATTCCTCCATGCAGGTTCTGTCACTGGTTTTCAATCAGGATGACTGAATGAGTCCTCTTTGTGTCTAATAAGATTCTATCCAAGTGATTTCCAGTTGCCTGGGTGGCTCTGCTATGGTGTGATGTAGTGGGTAAGTGTGAGCTGTGAGTGAGGAATGCTCGATTTTAATTCTGGTTCTGTCACTTCCGAATTCAGGAGACTCGTTCACTGTGTGTGCTTTCATGTTCTCATATGCAAACATGGATGATGACAATAATAGCATGTAGCTTGCTGAGTTATTGTGAGGATTAAATGAACTAATGCATGTTTATGTTTTAACAGTACTGGTTTGTCTATAATCCTTGCTTGTACTACTTTATTAATATTTATTATCAGTTTGTGATTTTTTTTTTTTACTTACACCCATGATTCTGAGACCAGCCATTAAAGACAGAAATAGGAATCCTTCCTATTAAGATGAAGGAAAAGGTAAGTTGATAACCAGCCACAGGATTGTACAAGGGACATGCCGATGCCAAAGGAAAGCCCCTTCAATGCTCTTAGCCAGGTGAATGCCATGGTACTTAGTCAGGCTAATGTCTATTGGAAGTATTATCAGAAAGTTCTTTCAGAGGCAGAACTACAAAGAGATAGCTGTAACTCAATCTCCTCTCTCCTTTTCTGTTTTTACAATTATTTATTTCTGTGTAGGTGGGTGAGTGCACATGCCATGTGGTGTACCTAGAGATCAGAGGACAGCATCAGCAAGTCGGGTCTATTTTTCCTCTATGTCTGTCCCAGGCTTTGAACTCAAGTGCCAGGCCTGGCAGCACGTGCCTTTACCCCCTGAGCCATCTTCTCAGCCCTAATTTTCTCATAAAGATGACTTTAATAGAGTAGAACTGTTTACTCAGTGAGGGCTGGAACCCCTCCTGTAGAAGAAGGACATTCAGCATGGGAAGTTGTCAGATGTCAGATCCAGCTGGGCAGGGTGGTGGTGGTGGTGGTGGTGGTGGTGGTGGTGGTGGTGGTGCTGCTGCTGCTGCTGCTGCTGCTGCTGTTGCTGCTGCTGCTGGGCTACTGACTTAATAAGTCAGTAGACTGCTAAGATGACGACCCCAAACAAGTTCCATTCTCTCTACCAGGATGATTGACAGCCCCCACTTGCCTTTGGAACTACCTTATTCGTTCTTCAATCTTCTTCCTTTAGCAGAGACTGAGTGCCTCAGAAGCCAGCCTCTTTTTCTTGTTGTGTGCTTGTCTGACTTCAGTGTGTATGAATTAGTTTCAGTCTCAGTCTTCCATCAAGCAGACATTTTCATTTGAGGCTGTTATCTCTAACTGGGAAACGATGGCCTTTGTCCTTTAGTAAGGGGATTGAGACCTTCTAGAGAGGCTGACAGATGTTTAGGGGTTATGGATGAAGTGACACCATCCATAAAGTCAACCTTGGATGGCGAGCTTAATTTAAGCCTTTGAGGCAGGCGGCTCAGGGACCAGAACACACTGTCTGGAGTACAGGTGCTACCTTTCTTCCTGTTCTCCCTAACATGTTCTTGGATGTGGTAATAGGAGCTGATCTGGGTATGATATCAGTCATCTATTTGTAGACACATACTAACATTTCTTGAAGTTTCCATATTGTATTCCAACTCTAACCAGCCTTTTATAGTTATCACTTCTTGCTCTGAAGATATAGATGGTGATGACCATTCTTCTACCCCCATCTTCACAAAGGACTAAGATGCACAAATAAAATAAAAATAAAAGCCACAGGTCAAACACTGTCAGTGTGTTCTCTTCTTAGTGAGACTGGGGATGGTAGTGTGCTGGGAGTTGATGCCCTGAAATGGTGGTACATTCTTTATGAATGTGTTCTTCCTTCCTTCCTTCCTTCCTTCCTTCCTTCCTTCCTTCCTTCCTTCCTTCCTTCCTTCCTTCCTTCCTTCCTTCCTTCCTTCCTTCCTTCCTTCCTTCCTTCCATCCTTCCTTCTTTTTTCCTCCTTCCTTCCTTTCTTGTCTTGTTTTGAAATAAAAATCTGATCTTGTAAAATGAAAAGTCTTGGTGAATGTTGTCTCTGGGGCAAATGGAACCTTTTGTCTGCAAGTTGGACAAGAATCTTATGGAGCACTATGGAAGCCCATGTCACAAAGATGAGCTCAATTTACTGAGTTATTCTCGGGCCAGATTACCAATTGGATGTGAGGTGTTCTTGTACCACCTGGGGCACCATGAGCCTCTTTGATGTGCAGGGTTAACACAGAAGAACCACAGCCAACACAAATGTTTTATAAATCCACTAGAACAAACAAACAGCAACAAAAGTTTCTATCAAGAATCTCTCTGTGCCTGCTGTTTTGGAATGCCACAGACCTGAGCAGCTGCCTTGGTAAAACGTCGTAGAGGCCAGGGTGCTGGCTCAGTGGGAAAGGTGCCCGCCTTGCAAGCAAAGGTACCTGAGTTCAGATTTCCAGCACCCATGTAAACTCAGGTGTGGCAGAGGCATGTGTAACCCAGTGCTGGGTTGGAGTGGTGTGGAGACAGATGGAGAGCATGTTTTTTTTTTTTTATGTGTTCTATATTTTTCTAAGTGCTTTAATATTTCTTATATCTCCATCCTCTTGCGAGCATCCTTGAGAGACACAGGATAGGCTTCTCATCCTAGTTTCACAGATGTGGAAGACTGTCTGCCCTGAGGTCACTTTGTAGGTTATGAAGCGAGATGAAGCTAGTTGCTAGGTGAGCCAACATCAGAATCCTGACTCCTGATCTGGAAAATGTGCAACTCTTCAAACTTCACTTTGGCTCTCTGGTTTTTCAGGGACATGCGTGGCATATTTAGGCTGCTAGAGTTAAAATGGCCATTCAAGCCCTCTGGTTATCTCTCCCCCGAAGTCCACAGAGATTAGACCACTGGCTCGGGGTGGTATGGCTCCGGTGGTGGCAGCACTGGCTGTTGGGACTTCTTGCCTCAGTACAATCGTCCCTCCTACTGGGTGATGCTGGAACTCTCTAGGGCTAGCCATGAAGGAGGGTGATGCAGTCAGTGTCCATGTGAGGCAGGACTGGCAGGCACTCTAGACTACAGCATTTTACCACAGGAGAGTCTTCAAGCCCTAGAGGAATGCTGGGAATTCTGAGAACCTTCACATTTCTGCAGAGTTGGCAGGTCTGGGTGTTAGTTTTCTGAATGTGTTCCACTGTGAACTTTCTGACCTATGATCCCTGTTTAAGAAATACTATTCTTTCTTTTGGTGGTCCAACGACCTTTGAGCCTAAGTGTTGTGGAGCAATTTCTTCTGAGATAAGGCTCCATCTTGGAGGGAAATTCCTTAAGACATGGAATGTTCTAAGGAGAGGGAAAACATTCCATCCTTCAGGGAAGCTTGCTAAATTTAGGGAATAAACAACCCAAAGGCTTCAGAAAGTCTCTGAAACTGACCAGATACCCTAATTCTCTCCTTCCCCAACCATACAGAAGCAATGAGGACTACCGAGAGGCACTCTCAGACAAGCTGATATTCCTGGAAGAGGCTCAGACCATGTGAGCTGCCTTCCAGAGGCTGTTGCAGGAATCTTACAAAGTTCTTATTAATAAGATCAAACCCGGACCAGGTATTGGGGTGAATTCTGGAAGATCAGAAAGACAGAACAAACCACAGCTAACCTCACCTGGCCAAATTCTCAGCTGGTCTTGTTTCCTCAGACTGGATGCTTCTGTGTCCTCATCCCAATGGCTCTCAGCTGAACTGCTGCTCGAAAGCCTGAAGCTTAACCAACTAAAAGCTTAACCAGCCAAATGCTTCTAGTTTCTGGTCCTCACACCTTATATACCTTTCTGCTTTCTACTATCACTCCCTGGGATTAAAGGCTCATTTTCTGGGATTAAAGGCATGTGTCACCATGCCTGGCCGTTTCCAAAGTGGCCTTGAACTCACAGAGATCCAGAGGGATTTCTACCTCTGGAGTGCTAGGATTAAAGGTGTGAGTGCCACCATTTCCTAGCCTTTGTACCTAGTAGCTGTTCTGTCTCTGACCCCAGATAAGTTTATTAGGGTGCACAATATTTTGGGGAACACAATACCACCACAAGAGGCACTCTCCAACCTGTGGAGCTGTGTGCAGACTGTGCCCCAAGCTCACCCATGTTGAGGTGGACCTTTGGTGATGAAGCTGTTGTTGAGTCATTTCTGTTCATGTAAGTAATCTTTCACCCATATTCCTGTAGGTAACCCAGTCTATCAATGGTTCTCTATCTGGGGTGAATAGACATGTGCTTATGTCTCCCTAAGAATAATGCCACACAATACAGGATTCACTAAAGCTATGTTGTGGTCCCGGTATGGGACAAGAAGAGTCTTGCTTTGTGGAAGCCCCCAGCTAACTCATCAGTATACAGAAAGGAGCAGACAGCAAGGGCAGGTATCAGAGGAGGGAATAAGGTGGCAGAGGTCACACTTCTGCTCTATGCATAGAAACCTCCACTGAGGGAGACCAGAAAAACATGAGATTTTACACAGGATGGTGGATAAATCAATCACAGATGTTTATTGAATTTTGTGAATGAAATGATCCTCTCTGCAGCAGCACAGTCAGGCTAATTACAAAATGTGTCTCACATGTGTCCCAGTGGCAACTGGAAAAGGCTTGAAGCTGGAACCACCATCAGGCAAGCGCATACTCAAAGGTCCCTTTATCAAACTCTTCGACTTCGTCTTCCCACGTAGAAGAGGGCATGCTGCTATATGGGTCTAAGAGAATCTTGAAGCATCTGATGATAAGGAGCCCCAGGAAAATGCACAGGATGCCCACAAAGGCAAAGCCAGTCTTTTGCTCCAGCGTCAGGGAGAATGCAGAGACTTCGTTGACACTCATCTTAGCTGAAGAATTGCTGCAGTAGGTGCTACTCATCGTTCACTGGTGCATCGTGGTGGCTCTTGGGAGTTCCTGCAGGAGTCAGTTCTCCGCCTAGGTACAGAATGGACCCAGTTTAGTTTCATTCTTGTGTGGCATTGGGCAAGAAATTATAAAAGCAGATATTTTCAAGGCCTCTTAACTCATCAAGCATATCTGAAGACATCAGATACAGATCAGAATGAAATTGGCACTGGAGATGTTTATTCCACTGTAGTAGTGCAGAATGGTTTATGGACACAGAAATCCATGCCTGCACAGTGCCATAGAAAGCCAAGCATGAAAATGATAGTTGCACGATTAACTCTCAATGCCTTTGATTTGTTGGGAGGTAGTTGTCCCTGCTTCTTTGATCTGAATTTTCACTGCATTTTTGCATGTGAATATCATAGCATAAATAAAAAGTCTATAAGCTGTCCTTGTTGTTCAAAGTCCCAGCTTTAAGGTCTCTCTTTCCAGGGCCATTGTGTCTATTCTTTAAACAGCTATGACGTACTCTTTGTTTCAACTCTTGTTTTCATAGCTGCATGCTTAGAGCATCTTCTCCATTACATGTGCCCCCCATTATAGGAAAGCCCTTTCACAGGAGTCACCCAAGACCACTGGAAATATCAGATATTTGCATTATGATTCATAACAGTAGCAAATTTATAGTTATGAAGTAGCAATGAAAAAAATTTTATGCTTGGGGGTCACCACAACATGAGGAACTGTATTAAAGAGTTGCAGCATTAGGAAGGTTGAGAATCACTGCCCTAAACAAACATAAAATCAAGTTAAAGTTGTGTGTTCTCTGTAATCCAGCTAACTTTAAGACAACTCCCTAGTCTTCCTAGCCAGATTCTCATTCCTGTACCCCTATCTACGATTGATATTCTAAAACTACAGCTAAAATGTTAAGAAAGTTGACTTTAACTAAAATGGAGCTCCTTATCCATTTTCAGAAAGCAGCTGAAGGAGCCGGAAAGATGGCTCAATGGTTAAGAGCACTTGTTCTTGTAGAGAATGGAGGTTCGATTCCCAGCACACACATATTGGCTCACAAATGTCTATAACTCCAGTTTCAGGGCATCTGACTCCCTTTTCTGGCCTCCAGGCATACACATGGTGCGCAGACATATAAGTGTGAAAAATACTCATACACATAAAATAAAATAAAAAAAGAACCCACTGAGATAGAACAAGGGATAGGTGGGAATGCATGGAGAGAGTAATAAGGCTTATAACTTTCAAACTTAAAAACACAGTGATAATCAGTTTTTATGAAGGTTTATGTTACAAAAAGAGCCCTGTCTTCAAACTACCAGTGACAGAAATACTCCCTACTTCTGGCATGTTGGTTGGTTGAATTTTTGTTCAGTAAAAGGGAAAAACATTTTTAAATCCCTTTGTGGAGTACCTTTCTACAAGTTGTTTTTAAGTGTTCTAGCAAATAAAAAGTGTGCTTTGCCTTTTTAAAGAGTTATCTTTTTAGGCTTACTTAAGTAACTCAGAGTTATCTTGCCAAAGGCTGAGTTCTTTTGTTATTTATCCTGGAGGAGGCATAGGATGCAGGATTAAACAATACTTTCGGCTTCTGAATTTTTTGAATTTTGTCAAGTTCATGGTCCTTGTAAGCTACATTTAACATTTTCAGGCGTGTCTAGGTAAGAGGAGCCAACAATACTCAGCAGTTAAGAAGGGGTCCTACTCTTGCAGAGTGCCAAAGTTCAGTTCTCAGCTTCCATGTCAAGCAGCAACACATAAACATGGGTAACTCCAGCTCCAAGACACCCCATGCCTTTGCCGCTGAGGGTGGCAGCACCCATGTACATGTACTCACACGTGTGAATATAATTTAAGATACTAAAAGTAAACCTCTAAAAACAGAGGGGCCGATAACATTGGTTTACGAGCAGACACTATGGTGTGCCCACAGTGCAGGACCTGACTGCCTGGCCACTGGCAGCATTCCCAGCAGGTGTTATTATCTCCTTTTATGGGTTGCCTCAGCTACAGAGAACTGCCCTACCAAGGGTATGTTTCCTCCTGGGAAGGATGCTATTCAGTGAGGGAAGGAGTGATATGACTCTGACTGTCTTGACTCCAAGGGGGAAATGCTAAAGAAGTAGCCTAGCTCTGGAGTTCCACATGGTGTCAGCTGAGGTTGTCTTGGGGACATATCCCAACTCAGCTCTGTCTACACCTGCCTCATCCTCCATCCGTCTCCAGGTTAGGAGCCCAAGGGCATTTAGACCACTGAACTCTGCCTCCACCAAGTCTGATTACTGCAACAATTTGCTCAGAAATTTTAAAATCACCTGAGCAGTTTGAATGATTTGTTCATTTTACCATCATGTAGAAATGGCCCAAGCAGATTAATGTCATAAATTTAGCTAAATGTGGTTGCATATTTACTTTTTTTTTTTTTCCGAGACAGGGTTTCTCAGTGTAGCTTTGCACCTTTCTTAGAACTCACTCTGTAGTCCAGGCTGGCCTCGAACTCACAGAGATCTGCCTGCCTTTGCTTACCGAGTGCTGGGATTAAAGATGTGCACCACCACTGCCTCACTTTTTTTGTTTTGTTTCTTGAGACAGGGTTTCTCTGTGTAGTTTTGGAGCCCATCCTGGAACTTGTTCTGTAGCCCAGGCTGGCCTTGAACTCACAGAGATCTGCCTGCCTCTGCCTCCCAAGTGTTAGGATTAAAGGCATGGGCCACCATGCTCAGCTGCTGTAGTTACATATTTTAAAGACATCATAGAGTAAACATATGCACTGTGTCATAGCTGGTCACAGACAAAGACAACCTAATTGCCCTTGGATTAACCTACAAGACTTTGTTATTCTTAGTAGTAAAAACCTACCAATCAACTAAACAAGCAAACCAACAAAAAGACATTTTCCAGAAGCAGTAATCAAGTATGCAGCTCACATAGTTCTACTAAATGAAGATAAAACCCCTTCCCAGCTAGAGGTACAAAAGCCCCCTTTCCTATACAATTTGTCTAACATATGCCATATAACACTCTGTTCTTAGATTTCTAGACAGCGAGTTAATGAATTGATGAAAAAATAACCACTTTCTAAGCTGGCATATCATCTCTATTCAATAAGTATTTGAACTGGAATAAATTAAATATGTCGGCAGATACAATCTTTGAAGACTAAAGTTTTTTTTTTAATCTATTTTTTTCAATATCCAGAGAGCTTGAAATTTCATTTATTAGTAGTTGACATGAACAAGAGACCTTCCATTTGGTTTCAAAAACTAGCCTTGAAGATAAGCACCGGGATTCAACAGCTCTCCCAGTGTTCCTGCTCTGTCTGGTTAAACTGATGTAGTGCAGCATTCTTAAAAAGACATGATTTTTCATGTCCAGAGACAGAGAATGTGGATTTTTTCTACTAACTGTGAATTTCCCTTTGTTTTCTCAGGAAACTATATCATAATCATCTTCTGTAGACATTAATCTGTACCAGAAAGTACAGATGCCAAATTTATATTTGATTACTGTGATTTTTTAGCTTAAAATTTCTGGTGTAGTACTCCTTCTTCACCCAATCCTTGGCTGTTAGCCTTAGCCAGGAAGGATATTAATGAGATACTTCAAAATCTTCTGAGTGGAGTAGGGATGTGAATGGTGTGTGGATAAAGAATGGCTTACTAAATGAAAAAGGTTACCATGGCAACAAACCTAATTTGTAGCACTCTCTCTCTCAATTACTAGAACAAATATGAGAAGAAATGCTGTGCTATTTGAACACATGTTGAAAAGTGACCCAAAACTTTCAGGGCAGTGTCAGGAAAGTCTAAAGGGTTGAATGAGTTTAAGACAACATAGAATATTTTCTTAACTTTTTCATTGAAAAAAAAAAAAGTAGAGACTGACATAAGCCAGCACTTTCCTTGATGAACTTGGTAACAATGTGCCATACTGAGCAGCATGCCTATGTGGAAGAGGCAGACATAATTATTTTAAAGTCATAAATGATGAAGACATGACTCCTTAACCTACTCTGGTTTTTATAGCTTGGAGATATGCTTTCAGAAATGACTAACCATGAGAAAGCTTCCAGAGTTATGAGTACAGGCAAACATTCTACCTTTCAAAAGGCGGAAGAGGAAATTATACGTTAGTAATGTGTGACTAATAGACATTTAATAGGTAACGGTTGGCACTGAAGGCTCTGACGGTCACGTGGGTGAGAAGCAAGGCTGTACTGCTCAGTTTTCCATTGTAGGCAAACGTCAAATTGTCAGTTTCAAAGAGAAAAGGCTCATTCTGGATCTCTGCTCTGGCAGTTTGAGCCGTGGTCATGTGAGCCTGATTTTGGTTCTAGAGTGTGGCACAGGAGGGCTGCTCACTTGTGGCTGGAGGGAGGAGGGATCAGGGTCTCACTGTCACTTTCAACATCATCTCTGCAGTGACAGGACTTCTTTGGACAAGATGGACCTCCTCCTACAGGTTTCACTGTCTCCCAACTGCTCTGCAGCTATAACTAGGTGCCAGGACTTCACAGACAGGCCTTTGAGGGAAACTTCAGATATCAACAGCTAAATTCATCCTCTTTTGCTTGTTTGCTGTTAACATGATGAACTAGGGAAACAGGACAGCATGGTTTAGTGACTTTGGCAATTCATGGACCTTCCCTTGTACTCTTTGTGAGGGAGATGTGAGATATGCCTGGCTTATAGTGCTTTATGTAGATTCAGTTACTGAGCTATCCTAACAAATACAGGGTTTTTATAATCATGAAGACAGTCTTCAGTGTAGTATCACAAAGGTCTAGCCTTACCTACACACTCTTACATGCTTCAGAACAGTGACTAGGTTGAAGACATTTAAGTGATGACTATTAAATTCAGCATAAAACTTGGCTGAAATTATATGTAGTTCTCAGAGTTGAGATTCAAAAGAATCTAATGACTTAAATTCTGAGATGGAACCTGATGTTTCTAACAGAAACATTTACAGAAGTCTTGTGTTTGAGAATGAAGGAGAGAAATATGTTAACTGAAAATGGGGGAGATGTTGCTTGATAATTTTCATGAAATAAATATTAAAATTGAAATTCATCAATAATTCATTTAAGTTGAAGACACGAAGTGGTTGCTTGAAAGGCAGAGGCAATCTTAACCTGAATAGGAACAAAGACTCCAGAATGGAAATACCATTATTATGTCCCAGTCAAACACAAATGATTTAATTGATAGTTGTCATCCTTGTATTCAAAATATTTATTGTGCTGTTGTCACATGGTAGTTGATATGACCTCTCTAGCTTCCAACTAGCAAGGGAGAGGAGCCATGTTCCAAGAAGAAAACAATTCAGTCTTCTACATGAGTAATGAAAAAGAAATCAAACTATGCTCAACATTTACCGCCTTTCTCCTATGCAGTACGTTACACATATTTTATCTCCTCAGCAGCCATATTGGTAAATTTAATTATCTTCTACATATTTAGAAGAAATGGAAAACAATGGTCCATGTAAGCATCAATGAAGGTCTGTATGAATAAGTATAAGTAAGAGAGTGTAAGTTTGAAAGCCACTTATAAAGTTAGGATTTGACACCTGATGGAATGCAATGAGCCGTGAAAAGAGACCCATCAATGATAGCTCCACTCTATTAAGCTTGAACAAATGCAAAACCAACATTTTTCACTAAGCAGAAGGGAGAAAATAAGAAACAGTTTAGATTTACAAAGTAAATGTAGATTTGGGCATTGCCAACTTGCTATTCTCATGTAAGGAGTCAATCCAGATAATTTTGTGCAACACACAGTTCCTAGTGGGGAGAATACTTTAGTTATGATTATCAAGTAAAACTGATATAGATGAATAAATGCAGAATAGAGAGATCACAGTACATAGAAGTATTTACAACTTTCAACTTAAGAGATGGAGACATATTGAAAGGCAATACTGAAGAAGACAATAGATACATCTAGACATCTATAGTGTTTTCTAGTGTAGACTTGTTCTAGACTGATCCAGGACAATTTTGTTATAAGTTCAGCAAGATGCTGTTTGCTATTACCAGATAGGACTTGAATATAGGAAAAAAAACCCACTATCAATAAACCACAATACATGCTCCTCTTGCAGAGGGAAAATAAGATCTCCCAGTGGACTTATAAGAAGGACTCAGGATCATGAATAAATCCATAGTAGGAATTAAAAAAAAACTAAGAAAGCCAAGATTTCCAGATGGAACATTAAAAAACTGTCTAATTCTGTGGGAATGGAAACTAAGCATGGGCAAGCAAGGACTGAGAGCAGAATTATTTCACCATTATAGAAATTTCTAGAATGTTAATAAATTGAAGGAAATTTTGATATTATGGCTAAAGACCAGACAGAATTGGATGGTAATACAATTTGACAAAACAAGTTTTACTTCCATAAAAGTTAAAGGCTCAGAAGGATAATGTATTCAAATTTGAATCATTCTCAATAAGAAGGACTTAACCAGATATTTGATTTTTTTCAAAGTAAATCTAAGTCAACCCATGTAATATCTAAAGAACTGTAGCTTACAGTTTTAAACAAAAATTGAGTTGAGAAAGGATGATTTTGTTAATACCTTAAAAGGAAAAACTTAGATTTTAATGTTCATCTTTAAACCAAGTGCCATATAGGAGAATAGTTGGAAAGGAGACGGACAAAGGTCCAAGAGAAGCCTGATTATTGATGCCAGCTCTGTATAAATAGGTAGATAAACACAAAAACAGGAGCATATTAGTCTTCATATCCAAGACATGATGTACTGAGCACTCAAAAACACTGGTATTTGAGGCCTAGCTTTTTCAAATATTTCCCCAAACTTTTCTATATTATTTGACATATAAAATGGATACCTTGTCTCATTTCAATAACAACTAAGTCTTAAATTTTTGAGAATATATCATTAAGTTTTCTGAGCTTTGTGCCTTTCTATTGATGTGGAGTACATTATATAAAATATTACTAATGACAACATCATAAACAGAAGTCTTCAGTTACAACACTGACTACTTCATGATGAATAAGGTCTCAAAAACACTTTCACATAGGGAGTAAAGACAAATTTTTCATTTACCATCACTGGGAGAAATAGGGAAGCAAAGGTTCATTAGTTTCTATAGAACAGATCTTGTAAAGCTTACCTCAGGAGGAAAATAATATTTTAATACCTGAGAAATAGGTTCGCTGAGAAATAAAAAATGAATGAAATATGAGAAAAATAGATTACAAAGGAACAAAACTATGAATTGATAAAAAAAAAAAGCCCATATGAAAAAAGTAGTTGTGAAAAGAATAAGTGAATTTAAAAAAGAGTTGAATGTAAAGCTGAATCCAGGTAAATTTACTTTAAATGTGATATACCACAAAAATGGACAACATCCTCAACACTGCTTGGCTTAAATAGCAGAGTCTCTCCACACAAAGACTGAAGTATTAAAGCGTATTTTTATACTACTTCTGCTACTGATAAAACGCTGCTTGGAACTCCAGGCACTGGGATGAATGATTAGATACTTTGGTAGTGAGCAACCAGATTCAAAGTGTCTCTTTTCCTTCATGGCAAACGTCATGCTTGCTCTGTAAGTCCTGATGAGTCATAGCATTGGGCCATGGCAGGACCTGTAGATATCAAAAGGCCCAATGTCGTGGAGTTGCTTTGTGGCTAACAACAAATAATCGATGATGGCGACCACAACCCCCCTGTGCTCAGTTATTTAAATCATGTCACTGCCGGCAACCCACCAAGGAGGGCATTTTTACAGCTCCTTCTGCATGTAGCCTTTCACGTCCATGAGTGAATATGGTAGGCAATGCTTTTTTTCTTCTGTGAACTGTTTACTGATTAGGAGCTATCAAGTTTGCTTTTTCAAAAACAGTTATTAAATTTGCACACAATAACATGCAATTGCAGAAGCCAAAAGTATGCATCTCCTAAAACAACACACGAACCTCCTATGTCTTTATTTTAATCAACAGGTTTTATTACCCTCCTGCTTATTTATCTAGTAATAACATCACAAACACCAAATCTGAAATAGTTGCAATTGGAGTGCAATAGTAATATTCCAGGTAAAGAGTATTTTACGACTAGTCACCAGACAAAAGTCTCTAGTGAGAGGATACTTGTAATTTCATGAAATGAGACATGCAAACTCAAGCTTAAAAAATAATGAGCCCTTCTATAATAAACAACAGACTCTATATCAAATGCAAAGGTTGTTAAATTCTAGTCAAAGAAGGAACAGCAGGAAGCATTATTGAGGCCATATCTGCACAGAGCTATCATTTAGGAATGGATGTGTTGGAATCAAAGGAAATCCTTAAATTACAAACCCAGATGTCTTCATTATGCTGAAGTACATGCATTTTGGTTTCCTAGAGTTCCAGAACCTCAGGATCTTCAGGAATCTACCCCCAGAGCCCCGGAGACGTCAACCTTGAGAGATTTTCTTTAAGAGAATATTTGGGTGGCTCCTCAGACACCCATTCCTTCCAAAGCACTGGTAAGCTCGATCTGGAAATTCTCAACATGTCTCACCAAAGAAGCCTAGACCAGCGTTATTATTCTACCTTGTGTTGGTTCCAGTTGTCTTCTACATATTAAGCTGCAGGAAGCATGGAAACTTCCTACAAGACATCATGGGAGAAGCATCAGCAATCTGTATACACACAACACATTTTCTTTCTTTCTTTTTCTTTTTTGACAGCATCAGCAGCTGCAGAGGCATTCTTTTCTTTTCAGAATTTGAGCACACCAAAACCTACAGACTCTCCCTGCCCCCCACCCAGCTCTCTTGCTTCTGAAATCCAAGAGAATAAGGACACCTTCTCCCCGGGACTAGCGCTGGAACCCTGTTGGTGATTGCTGAGGAAGGGGGAGAAAGTTACTTCGCAGGCAGCAGGGATGGATGGGCTCACCTTCCATGTTTGTTGCCATGGAGATGAATTCCAGCCAGTAGACTTGTTGGTAGGTTTGTCTGTGCTCGCGGATCGGTTCAATGTAAACGGCGTGTTCTGAGGACCTGCGTGGAGTCACAGGACCGTGGGTTGCGCTTTTTCTGGCCTACGTGTATAGATGTCTGTGTCTGGGTGAGAGACAGGACACAGGCAGCCGCGGAAGGACGTGCGCGCGAGTGTTTGCAGGAAAATGTGTGTGCATTTCTCTGATGTGGCAATGTGTAAATATTTGCGCGCAGGTGGATGTGAGAGCAAAGGAGGTGGAACGTGAGATGGGGAAGGGATTCTAACAGCAGCAACAGGGTCTGTTCTTCAGGTCCATTAGAAAGAGCAGAGGCAAGGGCTCATTTTCACTCACATCGCACCCTGAAGCTTAGCGATCAGGCTTCGTCACTATTTGTGCTTCCTAGGGTAGTGAGGGTTTAATTAATTCATTGCGAAAATCCTTGCCTCTGCGATTGTCCCCAGCTGTGCCGAAGGCATTTCGCTGTGCGTGAAAACAGCAGGCTCGAGTTGTTAGAAGGCGCTACGTTTTTATATCTCCTTTGATCAGACAAAGGGGAAAAACGGAGTGAAAGGTGTACTGGTTTAACTGAAAACTGATGCGTCACTTACTCGTTTAGTGTTCCTTTCCACTACCCACGCCCCTTTCCTCATAAGCCCCACCCCACCCCTTCCCGCAGACGCCTGGAGCTGTCCGCAGTGCTGAAACGCTGAGGCGAACCTTGCTCCTGCAAGAAGACGCCTCACTAGCTGTGACAAAAGCATTAGGAAGAGCGGTGCTGGCTTTCTAGAGCGTTGAATATACACACAGCAAACAGACAGCCATGGAAGCAAAGCAGAACACATCAAAGCAACAGACACTTCTGGTCTCATCCATCCTCGAGGTTTCTCCACATTCAGTTTTAGTATTTCTTGACTGTGACCATATTTTGACTCTATTCCCAGAACCTGCCCTTGGCAAGCACCTGTAGATTCCCTAAAAGCTTAATTGCTCCTCTTATGAACTATCAAATTGTTAATATTTGTGGAGAATGTAGATAAAGAGTTTGGACATTATTATTTCTGTTGTTGTTATTTAGCTGAGACCACCTAGTGTGAGTGTGACCAGATTTAATAATGAAGACAAATTTTATGGCTACCTTAAGTATCGTTACTTAGGAAATCTAATGATCTTACAAAAAATTTGCACAGAGAATAAGTGTCAGCGGAGTGCCCAGCCACAAATGAAATCTACATCACCCCCATTCAAAGCTCATAGACCATTGAGTAAGAGGAAGAGGAAAATTATAAGGTGGATGAGAGCGAAATGGTGTTTTCTGGAAAAGACAGCTCTGCTTCACTCATGAACTCACAGACCACAAGACCCGCACAAGATTAAGCCAGTCAACATTCTAACATAGTGTGGGGAGGGGATCACTAGCATCCACCCCTAACTGACGAGTTACTGACATTTAATAGCTTCAGAGTTGGGGGTGGGGATGCTTTTTAAGGATGTGGCCCTGGTAAGCTGATCAAATTTCTGTAGATAGCCTCATACCTAGGTGTAAGAGTATATGGTCAGCACAAATTGGACTCTGGATTACTTCTTTTTAAAGGAGTTGAGAGGAAGTGAGGCTATTATGGGTGGTGGGCCTGGGAGGAGTTGGGGAGGGAAATGAACATGATCATATATTACATACAATTCTCAAATAAATAATAAAATATTATATATTTTTTAAAAGTTGCACAAAGTATATTGGGAGTTCATAGAAGACCATATTTTACAAAGTTGTCCCTCTTTAAGTGGAAATCTATTAAAAAATCTTAAGAGGTAGCTGATCTAATTGCTTATTGTGAAAGAATGGGGGATATATCTTTTTTCCAGGGGCATGCTCTTGGCTTTACTGACTTTTTCAAATGTGTTAAGGGCTATATCCTTTCTTAATACTCTGAACTAAAACAGTTGATTGAATTTTAATATAGTTATGAATTTCACATTTGTGAGAATTAGAAGATGCTAATTCAGTAGGTGTGAGATTATGTCTCAGATTATTCATTCCTACCATGTGTCTGAACTGATGGTAGAGGCTTCTAGTCTTACAACCACACTTTAAGTAGCCAGGTACTAGAAGTATTGTATTCTAGCAATGCAGTTCCTTAGAGAGTCCAAACAATGAGGTGATTTTCTCTGATCTATATTTTAAGATTGTTGCACTGGCTGGAGAGATGACTCATTGTTTAAGAGCCCTTGATGCTTGTGATGATTTGAATAAGAATGTTCCTCATAGTCTCAGACATTTGAATAAATGGTCCCCAGTTGCCTTGTTTTGGGGAAGGATAATGGGGTGGCCTTGTTGGAGGAGGTGTGTCACTGATGATTGGATTTGAGATTTCAAAATACTCTTTCCATTCCTGGTGCCTCTGTCTCTCTGCCTCATACCTGTGGATCAAGATGTGAACTCTCTGGTGGGCTGACCAACCCTTCAACAACCCAGGCCCAGAACCAGGGTTATGAATTGGTGCACCCTAACATCCACTTCATCTGTGATGTGCTGGAGCATGTGAAGGGACAGGTCCTGCAGACCCAAAGCTGCAGGGCCTCCACGACATAGGACAACAACAGGATACCCATGAGGAGTCCCAGTGAGGGCCCAGCATTGATAGTGCAGCAGAAACCAGAGGCCTCGAATTAGACCGATGACTCTTTGCAATGAACACTTGCAAGTAACGATACATGGACAAAATGGTTGCTGCGTGACTCACTGTGTCACACTACAGCTTCCATGATTTATCCTTTTTTTTTCTTTTCTTCTTTATTTTCCCTTAAATTTTATTTTATTTTTTTGGAGGGGGTTGCAATGGCAGAGGGCAGATATGAAGGGACGGGGGAATGAATGTGGTGGAGATGCATGATGTGAAAGACACAAAGAATAAATAAAAGGAAAGTTTAAACAAAAGATGTGGAGTGGAGAGATAGCTCAGTGGTTAAGAGCATTGGCTGCTCTTCCAAAGGTCCTGAGTTCAATTCTCAGCAACCACATGGTAGCCCACAACCATCTATAATTCTATCTGGTATCCTCTTCTGGCATTTAGGCAGAACACTGTGTATATAATAAATAAATTTTTTAAAAAAGAAGTGAGTTCTCAGTTACTGCTCCAGTGCTGCCATGCCTGCCTGTCTGTTCCCACCATCCCTGCCATGATGGTCATGGAACTGTAAGCTCCACATGAATGCTCTCCTTTATAAGTTGCCTTGGTAACAGTGTTTTATCACAACAATAGAACAGTTACTAAGACACTGATCTTCCAGAGGATGCCATTTTGGTTCCCAGCACCCACATGACAGCTCACAGCCAACTCTAACTCCAGTTTCAGGGGATCAGAGTCCCTTCTCTGCCTCTTAGGGCACCAGTACACACATGGCATACATGAATGCAGACTATACTCCACATAAATAAAAAATAAAAATAAAGCCTAAAGAGGAGGCTATTGTAAAAACTAATCTAATTTAAATAAGCCCAGAAAGTATTCTTATTATGTTTTGATTGTACACTATTAATAAAATATTTGTGAATCTGATTAATTTTATTCTAATTTTTGTGGTAAATGGACCCAGGCTATGTTTGACATCTCCCCACTTACGTGTGTGTGTGTGTGTGTGTGTGTGTGTGTGTGTGTGTGTGTGTGTTCTATCATATGAGTCCTAGAGATTGAACTTTGATATTCAGGTTTGGGAGCAGGTACCTTTAAGTGCTGAGCCATCCTGCCAGGCCACTCTGTATTTCCTCAGTGTTTTCAAGGGCTCTTAAACACAAGCATTTTTAAAAGCCTGGCTTAAGGGGTCAGAACCAAGTGACATGAATCTGATGTAGAGATGAACTTCATTTCAGGAATCATTAACACAGCTAGAGATTTTTAATTGCATTTTATGACTTTAAATATGGTTCTATGGTAAATGTCCATGGAATCTAATCTTAAACACCAGTGTGCTAGGGTTAAGGAGATGGTTTAGTAGTTAAAGTGTGTACTACAACTAATAACCACTTGTAACTCCAGCTCTAGGGAATCTGATACCTTATTCTGGTCTCTGTGGCCACCCACATGCAGGTGGCATACACTTTTACACACACACACACACACACACACACACACACACACACACACACAGAAATAAAAATAAATCTTTGAAAACACTTGGGTGTTACACATCTAATTCTCATTCAGTGTAGAAAAATGGGACCGTGTTATCATTCAACTGTTGATATCGCAAGTCCATACATAGGTTTTGAAGATTGTTCTGGGTGGTTTTCTATTTTTTAAAAAGATTTATTTTATGTGTATGAGTGTTTTGCCAACATGTGTGAATATGAATCATGCATGCCTGGGGCCCACAGAGGTTGAAAGAAGGCATGGGATCCCCTGGAATTTGGAATTGTGGATGTTGTAAACCACCATGTGGGTGCTGAAATCGAGCCCAGGTCCTAGGCAAGGGAAAAAGTACTCATGACTGCTAAGCCATCTCTCCAGCCTCTTGGCTTCCTATTAAAAAAATCATACATCATTTAATACAGTGCTTCCAGTTAATGCTTTCGAATTGGTGCCAAAGGAAAGCTTTAACTGCAAATTAGGTTCTTTGGTGTTAGTTGGCACATGACCTTGATCTTTTCAAGCTATATGGAAGATGATGATGCTCTTAAAAGTCTAAAAAGTGGCCCATTCAGGAGTGTGTGATTAAAAATCCATTATGTTCCATGTCCTTTGCTAGGTGCTGGGATCCAAAGATAAATTGGATTTGTTATCTGCCCTTGAGGAGATTTGTTATTGTAAAGCAGTGTAAAAAGTCTACAAAGTTATATTTCTATAGGAATCAATAGACTACTACTGTTTTATTTTCCATTGCAAAAGCATTGGCGAATTAATCCAACTTGCAATGAACACATGCCCTTCAAATTCTTGTGCAACTTTCATAGAAACTATTGAAAGAAATGGCCTTCTAAAGTTCACCTATCCTTTCAGAGACTATGATCTACTTTCAGAATAAAAAGCCAAGTTGTGATTGACATTGTTTGTCCAACCCATGACAAAATCACCTTTAACATGCCTTGGTGCTACTCTGGACTTGATCTGCAAATATGCTATTGGAAGGATTCCTGGTTTATACAAACTGCTTGATTTCTTTATAGACTTGTTATTAGATATTAGTTGACACATATATATTATAGATAATATGTATGTAGCTAGTCAGCACATCACCTACTACTTTTTCTTTAAGATGCTGAGAAATTTAGAAAGCAAGTACTGCTTGAGATGCAAATGGAACACTCATACCCACTCCTTATTTAAATCAAACCAGAGCAAGTGTTGTGCTTTTTTTCTTATTTATTGTCAAGACTGTGTGACTGATCACATTTATTGCTTCTTTTACTTCCCAGGGATACAAGAATCAAATTAATAACTAAAAATTATCAACTCATACATTCTTTTAAATTTGTTTGTTTTCTCTATTTAGTTATTTGGTTTTTGAATTTTTTTAATTCATTTTTTTAAAAGTTCAGATTATAGTCACCTGTAAAAATAATCTCATAAAATCAGAA